GCCGGAGCTGCGCCAATCCGAAACCAGGAGCCAGGAGCTTCTTCTGGGTCTCTGATGCAGGTGCAGGGGCCATCTTCCACTGCTTTCCCAGGCCATAGCAGAGAGCTGGATCAGAAGAGGAGCAGCCGGGACTCGAACCAGCACCCATATGGGATGCCGGCACTTCAGGCCAGGGCGTTAACCCACTGCGCCACAGCACCGGCCCCAACGTGGCCGTAACTTGTACGATTCCACTGAGATGAGACGGCCAGGAAAAGGGACTCCAGAGCAACAGAATGGAGCGTGCTGGTTGCTCAGGACGGGTGTGGAGAGGTGGGGGTCAGTGGGTGAGGGGCATTTTCTAGGAAATACTGAACGTGTTCCAAAATGGATTGTGGTGACAGGTGCACATTTCTGAATATAGTAAAATCCACTGAGTTTTACACTTTAAAGGAGTGAATTGTAGGAGAAATGAGTTCTCTCCCAGTAAAAGTGTTCACAAAAATCAATACGCAGCAGCTCAGTAGGAAAAGAAGCGAAAGGAAAGGCACGTGTAGGCATTTTGCGGAAGAGGAGACATGGATGTCTAACATATTTGAAAGATGCTCAACCTTGTTTCTCATCAGGAAGATGTTCAGTCAACCCCCGGTGGGATACACGAGATACTCACATTGTAAACTGAGGCAGGGCCACTTCTGCCCATGCAGAGGAGGTGGAGAAGTGGGGGAAGCTGCTCCCTGCCGGAGTGGGTGTGGATTGGCTCCACCACTCTGGGAAATGAGTGAGACCTGCAGATGCAAGTGTTCATGTCCCCGCCGATCCCCGCAGTGCACAGCCCAGGAATTGTTTCTTTTCGTGTACGGAGATCGCTATTTAAGAGTAGTCATAGGAGCAGAACCTCATACAACTGAACCGTGTATGACTTCGGCATAAGCGTAGGGAAATGAACATGTTTTCAAAAAGTAAACAAGCGTGGCTGGCGCCGCAGCTCACTAGGCTAATCCTCCGCCTGTGGCGCCGGCACACCGGGTTCTAGTTCCGGTCAGGGTGCCGGATTCTGTCCCGGTTGCTCCTCTTCCAGTCCAGCTCTCTGTTGTGGCCAGGGAGTGCAGTGGAGGATGGCCCAAGTGCTTGGGCCCTGCACCCCATGGGAGACCAGGAGAAGCACCTGGCTCCTGGCTTTGGATCAGCATGGTGCGCCGGCTGCAGCGACCATTGGAGGGTGAACCAACGGCAAAGGAAGACCTTTCTCTCTGTCTCTCTCACTGTCCACCCTGCCTGTCAAAAAAAAAAAAAAAAAAAAGTAAACAAGGGAAGGATAAACAGGAAATTCAAGAGAACACAACTGGGACAGAACGGGGAAGGTCTCGCCGGGATTCAGGGTGGTGGTCCTTTTCTTAAACTGGGTGGTGGGCACAGCAGGTGCACCGCAGGGCTGGGGAGGAGAGGCGGCGGCCAGGGTTGACCGACAGCGTGGCGTTTGAGGGGAGGGGAGTCAGAACACTGGGAAGCATATAAAACACAGCTTCCTTCTGCAGCTCCCCAGCGCTGCTAACACCGACCCTGCATTCCCAGGCAGGCTGCCTGTGTTTCCCATCTTCTGTTTGAGAAACAAAGGGGAACAAAATGTTTTGATCCCATGAAAAGAGAAAAGAAACTAAGAGAACTACATGCCCCCCCCAAAAAAAAAAAAAGGCAGCAGCAGGACAGGGATGTTCTAGAAATCTTTTTCCAACCCAAAGGGTTAAAATGAAGGGTTTTGTACTTCAGGGGGAGGGACTTGCTTTATCTGGGCCGATGCTTCTTTGTCGTTCCATGACGTAAAGTAAACCAGAGCTGGCTGTCAGCATCTAGGACCCCATGCGCTCACTGCGGTCCCTCAACAGTCGCCTTTCTCTCTTTCAGATCCTGCTCACACTAAAAGATGAACCACAGACACGTGGAGGAAGGACCCGTTCGCTCCTCCTGGGTGTGTGACCAAGGGCAAGGTGGCTGCCGGCACTGTGAGGGCTGCATGGTGGTTTGGGGGCTGCGTCCAGGTCCTCAGAGCCTTGGAGCAGAAGTGACAGCCAACGCCTGCCTGCCACTCAGCCAAGCCAGCCCCCGACTGGGGAGCACAGGAGGGAAGATCCTCTGGCTGCTGGTGGCCCCGGCAGTGGGGACGTGGCACGCATGCGTTCCATCCCCTGTCAGAGCACATGTGTGTCCGTCCCTTCCCTGGGCCCTGTTCCCCCAGCCCGTGCAGGTCTGCTCTGTCCCTTCCCCGCTACCGCCCAGAGACGATAGGAAAGAGACTCCCTGGCTTATTTGCATTTTACTTCCTCTTCTTTTCCAGATGGCAGCATTAAGCTTCATTTCCTTGTGCAAGCTTCAGATCCCCTCATCATTATCTACCAAACCTGCTCTTCCCTTCCCAGAGGGTCTGGGGGCAGGGGAGCACCCAGCCCGAGCTTCCCGGGGAGTGGAGACCATGGGCCTGCGGCCGGCAGCGGGGGCCAGGGGAGAGGCGCCTTTGGAATTACTGATTTCTGAAATTAATAAAGTCATTACATTTTTCTTTTCTTTTTTTATTTTTCCAATTTACTAATTTCCCAACCATCAGCAGTCGCAAACAAGACTGAAATAGAACCAGTTTTTTCATTTGATTTCATGGCTGGGAGATTTTCAGAACTGCATTGTGGAAACGTGCGCTCTGGAGAGGAGAGAGGATGGTAGGTCCTGGACAGCCCTCGTCCGGGGGAGACTGTCAGCACAGCCCTCCACAGGCAGGCTCACCCACAGTGGGGTCCTCGCATGCCCAGGTGCACGCTGCTCCCCGAAACAGACCCTCCAAACTGTGCAGCCCGGCCCGGTAGCTCTCTACTTGACCCTCTGCCTCCTGCCCCTCCCCACTCCCAGGTCCTCTCTCGAGCTTCCCTGGAGGAAAGTGTAAGTGCGAGGCCACAGAGCCCGTGGAAGGATGGACTTGAGTGGCCCAGGGATTGCCCGGGAGCACAGAGAGAGTCTGGGCTGCTTCAACAAGAGCCGACAGACTCAGGGTTGAAATCCTAGAAGAAAAACAGTGTCCCAAACTTAGGTGGAAAACAGACGAGAGACTGCATTGCCTTCGTAGTGAACGGAAACAAAGATGTGGGCGCGTGAAAGCATTTGGTTTGCTTGTAGAGCTGAGATGTGTGGGTTGCAGGAGGGAGGGGCTGTGTTCTGTTGTGTTCCCGGGCGTCGTGGATAGTAGTTTGAGGACCATCCTAACTATTCCCGTGGCTGTGAGCTGGTGAGGCGACACAGGAGAATTCCTCCATCGTTCCCTGCTGATGAGAGGGATGGACAGTGGGGGGTGTTGGAGGGTTGCCGGGGGAGGGCTCGCCGTATGACTCGGAGCAAAGCCTGAGAAGGGATGAGCCCAGTAGGCTTGAATTGCCCTAGGTATCCAATCAGAATTGAATCCGCATTAATTTCCCTGCATTCTCCACGCGGCGACCCAGAGCTAAGAACAGACTCCTCTCTGCCTTCACGCACTCAAGTGCTTGCGAGTCGTTTTTCCTGGGACTGGACTTCTCTTGGTAATAGACTAGACCCCTCCTGTGAGCCCTCCTCCAGCAGGGCTGTCATTTCAACGCCACCTCTCACCCCCCGACAGACAGTAGTGCCTGAGCTAAGTGGAAGGAGGGGCTGTACTGCAGACCCCTGCCCATCCTCGGATCTGCTGCTGCTTAGAATAAGAGTACAGCGCCAGCATCAACATGTGGAGTCGTGGTGTGTTGTTTTCTGTGGGGTACTTCAGGAAACACGTCCAGTTACCTTGGTTCTGTAGAATGAACCAAAGGCCCAGTGGTTTTGCGATGTTTGACGAGGTTGGATAAAAAGGGAGTTTGCCCAGGGTAAGATTTCTTCCTTGGAACGCACTGTTTCTCAAAACGCTGCTCTAGCAGCCTGGACCCTTCGCCTGCCCCAAAGACATCTCTCGAGCTGCGGGCTGAAGGGGTGCACGTCTGTTAAACAGTGAAGACTCTGACGCTGGGGACAGCAACAGCCTTCGCTGAAGTGCCCACGCACTCCCTGGGGTCTGATAGACCACAGCCCACCAGCCCGGATTGCAGGGCAGGGGCACAGCGACCAGAAAGACAGTGGCGGTAAACGAGGGCCACGGGGGATGAAGACCAGGAGAGGCCCTTAGCACCAGCTGGGCATGGACAGCGCAGGAAGAAAGTCTCGGAGACCAAACTCAAGAGCTGCATCTTGGAACAAGGCGCGTGCGCACACACACACACACACACACACCCCATGCACATCCCCCAGCCTGCAGTGCAGCTTCGGATGAACTTTTCTTCCCAGTGCCAAGGTGCTGTCACTGGAGGGGGGTGAGTTTCAGGAACCACTGGGTGGTCCCTCACGACGCAGGGCATGAATCCCGCATTGCTGTGGCATCAAGAGAGAACTCTGGGACTGCCCCCCCTCCCCCCTCATTCCCAGGTCTCTGACAAGAGGCCCGAGTCTGGAAAGGGACTTCCTGGCCAGCTGGTTGAGGCTTCACCTGGAAACAGGAGGAGTCTCTGATTCTCAGGCCTTCTGCCAGTTTCTCTGATTCTCAGCTGACCCGGGAAGGCTGGAGACAGTTTCCAAAAAATGACGACACTGGCCATTTCTGTGGGACACATGCACCCCGCAGCTGCCCGGAGGTCACACGGTGGGCTTTCCTGCAGATCAGAGCCATGCCCTGTGTGTGTTTGGGGGGGGGGGGCCGCGACAGGGCGGGCTCCCCCAGGTGCTGTGCATGCCGGGCGTCCGCACCAAGCAGGCAGGAGCCTCTGCCCCAGCCCCCAGCCCCCAGCCCCCAGCTCCCGTCTCCCAGCCCCCGGCTCCCAGCCCCCAGCCCCCAGCTCCCGTCTCCCAGACCCCGGCTCCCAGACCCCAGCCCCCAGCCCCCGGCTCCCAGCTCCCAGGGATGGGTCAACGCCGCCGCCGCCGCCGCCGTGGAATGAAGGGAAGGGGCATTACCAAAGACATTGACTGAGCCAGACGTGGACCTTAGAAGAAGGCTTTTTACTGTTCTAGAAACAATCTTCCAGAAGATGAAATCATCCAAGCTTCCCCAAAAATATTTATACAAAGGTTTTGAGAGTAATATTTGTATTTGTCTTTATACCTCAGTCTATGCGTCTGGGCCCAAGTCACTGTGTGGCACACATGCAGCTGCCCCGACTGCCACTGGGCCGTAGCACCTGCTTCCAGGAACACCAAATGAACACAGGGTCTGGGGGGCTCGGGGCGGGAGGCCCTGGCGCCCCCGAATCCAGATACGTGCAGCCTGACCTGCAAGGTGTCCAGCCGAACGCCCCAAGCGGGATTCGGCCGCGGAAGGAGGTGGGAAGAGGGACCCACAGGGCAGACGGGAGGGGGCTGATGCCCACCCTTGGCTTCTGAGTGCAGCGTCTCCCTTGGGCCCGGTTGAGTGGCTGGCCCGGGAACTACATTACCTGGATTTGCTGATGGATGTAGAAAGGACAATTTGCAAAACAAAAGACCTGCCCTTACTCCCCAGTGGTAGGAGACACTCCTGGGTGACCTGTCTGAAGACAGCTGCTTGGCCTGTAGGACGCCACCCTGATTCCCTAGAGAGGATGTGGTCCCACAGGGAGCAAACCTGGCCTCCGGTCCCGAGTGTCTTCCAGACTGGCCCCAACCCGGCCGTTCTTGGCCCTGCCTCCACCCCACCGTAGCCCCAATCCCACTGCCATACGACAGGGCGACTTGCCATCCCTCTTCCTCCGTCCCCACCACCTCTGTCCGCATCACAGAAAAATCTGTGCCCTCGAGAGTCCGGCCTTCCCCTAACCAAACCCACACTTCCTTTAGCACAGCGATCCTCAGAGCCAGCAAGAAAGAGAAATGTTCCAGAAAGGAGACCCCCGGCTCAGCCGTCCGCCTGGAGCCGGAGGCCTCGGGCCAGGTCTGCAGCGTGTGTGTCCCCGAGCAGCGGGCAGTCGGGCAGCGGCACCTCGCTCTCCTCCGTCGCACGCGGGCCTCAGCTGCACTTGCAGGACTTCACCACCATGTTGGAGAGCTGCTCCACCTTGGGGGTCCTCCCGACGTAGTACAGGATGGTCAGGGGCTCCAAGTCCTGAGGGACGCAGCAGGGCGAGGCCGAGGCTTCCGGGTTCAGGGTGTTGTAGAGTCCCAGCACCTGTGGAGATGGGAGAGCCACGCCTCAGGCCTGCATCCCAGGGGCGCTCCGGGTTCGAGGGTGACTCCGGAGAGTGACGGCCGTGGCCTGGGATGCCACATGAGGGGAACTGTCGGGACGCAGTTTGGGTGAGTGACAAGTTGCTGTGCATCCGTGATGGCAGAAGACAAACCCTGTGTGCGTGTCTGGGGGCCCTCGGGGTACACATGTGACAGTCCCAGGGAGACCTTAAACTGACAGTGACCCTCTGGGCCGGCAAGAACTCCCTCCCTGCCGCCGATCACTTGGCCTGATGGTTCATTATTCTCACTATGTGCCGCCCCGGCCTTTTCTACGTGTCGGAGTGCAGGGCCCTAGACAGGATGTCGTGATAATGGGCTATGAGGACGCACGCTTCACAAGCCACTGTCCCAGGTCTGAGTCCCCTGGAGGGAAAGACAAGCTGGTTTCGGAGGTTGTGGACTCCACACGGTCTCACGTTGCCTTCCCAGTGTCTCCCGTGAGCTTCCTCGCGTGCCTCCTCCACTGCCTTTCAGGATAACCTCTCTGCACCCTGCGAGGCCGCGTTCTGTGACTCCCGGCCGAGACCTGCTTCCCCAGCACTCCTCACCAGCCAGGTACACACATCTCTGACATTTAACGTAGTGTGTGGCAGTTAATTTATTTCCAGTGCACAAAAGCTTTAGACAAAGTAAAAAAAAAAGGCTGGTTGAAACGGGGAGGAATGTGGCCGGTGGCACTGGGCCTGCACGCCGAGACCAGAACCTGTCCCGAGGGACCTTACGCTGCCCGGATCATCATCCACTCCCATGTTCCACGCTCCACTCACTCTTTCTAACAGATGGTCTGGTTGGCTCAGCCCCGGTGCCCCAGGTGGCGCGCGCCCGCCCGTACCGTGCTGTGGGTGGTGTCTGCACTGCGGAGGTATGGGCACGGGCCAGAGCAGAAGTTGGCGTAGTAGCCCTTGGGTTCGTGGACCCATTTCCAGCCCAGATCCTGGCGGAAGTCAATGTAGAGTGGACGCACACAGCAGTTCTCCTCCAAGTTGCTACAACCAAAAAACAGTGGTAGGAAATCAAGCTAAACGGAATCCGACAATGCAAGAAACACCACAAACACCCGCATGTTTTCCCTTGGCGTCTTCCCATGCTGTCATGGGAAATGGTTCAAGTCAATTGAAGGCCAAGTTCAAGCACATGGGGCTGAAGAAACCAGAGAGACATTTTCCTGGGTGAAAGACGAGGCCCCCAGGAGGACCCGCAGTTGAGACACCCCATGGGATGTCTGCACCCCATCATCAGACTGCCAGGATCAATCCCCACCTCTGCTCCCAATTCCAGCTTCCTGCTAATCAACCTCCTGGGAGACAGGAAATGGGAGACGGGAGGTAGTCTCTGCCTAACTACGTGAGCCACATGGGAGACCTGGATGGAGTTCCTGACTCCTGGCTTCAGCCTGGTCCAGCCCTGGCTGCTGAGGACATGTGGGGAGTGAACCAGTAGATGGGAGATTGTCCTTTCTCTCTCTCTCTCCCTCTCCCTCTCTCTCTCTCCCTACCTCTCCCTCTCTCTCTCTCCCTCTCTCTCTCTCCCTCTCTCTCTCTCTCTCCCACCCTCCCTTTCAAATAAAGTGAAAATGAAAATGAAACGCTGCATAAGGAAGAGTACAGAGGCAAAGGCGGTCCTGACTACTTTTACATCACAAATCAAAACAGACACAAAATGCTCCAGATGAAACCAAGCACGACAATGAACTGCCAACTCACTCCGCTGAGGTTGGTTTTCTTGTGAACTTCCCAGTGCATCCACACAGAAAATAAATGGCTTAGGCCAGACTGAAGCCAGGAGCCCAGAACTCCATCCAGATCTCCCATGTGGGTGGCAGGGGCCCAAGGACGTGGGCCATCCTCTGCTGCCTTCCCAAGCACATTAGCAGGGAGCTGGATCAGAAGCCGATGGCTGGGACTGAAACCAGTGCTCCAACAGGGGATGGTGGCGTCGCAGGTGCCAACACCACCATGTGGGTCCCAGTAGACGACTGCTCAGACTACACCCAGAGGCCACTGCACCAAACAAGGTCAGCCAAGCGTACTGAGCAGGCCCCTTCCCTTCTGTGGCCTGCAGAACTCCGCTGGCACACAGCCCTGATCTGCTGAACCTGGAACCTGCTACTTCCAAAGGCCGCTGCTGGCCCACACTGAGCCTCCTGGGAGTTCCAAGTGGGGAGCCACGGCAGGCCCTGCTGGCTGTCCAGTAAGCCTTCCGAACCCCCTCCTCCCTTGCAGCTCCCATCACGTGTTCCGGAACACCAGCTTTCTCGGTTTCCTGACAGCCTTGCAGGTTGGAGTGGTCACTGACCCAGTAACACCCAGTCAGAGGTAAGAAGTATGCCAGGGGTGATGGTAAGTTCTGGTGAAGATACCAGATTATTAAAATACCAGAGAGGGGTCGGCCTTTGGTACAGCAGATAAGACGCAGCCTGCGATGCCTGCATCCCACACTGGAGTGCTTGGGTTCAAGTCCCAGCCTGGCTCCCCATTCCGGCACCTTGCAAGGGTGCATGCTGGGAGGCAGCAGGTGACGGTTCAAGTTCCTGGGTCCCTGCCACCCACATGGGAGACCTGGCGTGAGTTCCTGGCTCCGGGCTTCAGCCTGCCCAGCCTGAGCTGTTGCATGCATTTAGGGAGTAAACGAGCAGATTGGGAGAGTTTCCTGTCCCTTTGCTTTCAAATACATAATTAAAAAAATTTTAAAGAAATTTTAAAAAATATGACAGGTGGAAGAGGAGAGCTGCTGGCCCTCCCCCCACGTCTCCCCTTTCTCCCTGTCTTGAACGTGGATGAGATCCTGGAGCCCCGGCGAATCACCTGTGGCCACAGGCAAGCGTGCAAAGCCAGCATCCCAGGCATGGCACACGAGAGAGCCGGAAAGCCTGGAGGAGCTGGGCAGCCGGCCCGGCCCTGCGCCCACAGCCACGGCCCTCTCAGGAACAAGAAATCCCCTAGGTTTAAGGCACTGTTGCTCAGAGCCTAGAGTACTCGTTCCTCACAGAGAGACACACACACGGAACCAACCCGCGAGCTGTTGGCGGCGTCCGCGCTGCCTCCCCCACACCTCGTTTCCCAGGCTCGGCATCAAGAGCACGGGATTCCCGTTCACGCCCCCAGCCCCGTGCGGCCAACCCGACCCCCTGTGTGCCTTCCTCTACCCAAGGTGCTTCCTTCTCCCAGATCCCTGCCTTCCCACAGCTCACTCATCCCAAGGGCTCTGCCCAAACCCACACCCTCCTGAAGACTCGCCCCAGACCGGGAACCAGTGGACCCCTCGCCCCCAGTTCTTGAAGCTCAGATCCGTCAGAGCCTCTCGCGACGGCACCGCTTTCTGCCTTTGTGTGGTCGGTGTGCCTGCTCGTGTCATCCCCTCCCTTATTAATGAGCAGGTGGGCTGGGAAAAGTTAAATAAGGGAAGAAGCTGTGGCTTCCCATCTCGCTATGACGGCCGTCCAGCTACTTCCGAATCACTGTGTCAGTCTCCCTGCTCAGCGGCCCCCTGCCAGTGCCCTGTCTCCCCTTTCCTAGTAGTGTCCGTGGGTCTTGCATAGGGCACCGAGCACTTCATTACTGGGAACTCCTGCACTGATCCCTCCCCACACACCCCGTCAGCACGAAGGGCCTGAAACAAGGGAGAGGCTCCCGCCAGGCGTCCCCAGCCCCAAGCCCCGCAGCCTTCCTCACTCACTCCTCCCAGGCGTCTGCAGGGTCAGACTGCAGGACTACGCTGGGGCTCCCGACATGCGCGCTCCAGCTAGAGATGCTTGTGGACATCAGCAGGCACCCCCCTGGCTCTGGGAGGAAGCACGCGGCGGGCGTCTGTTCCCGTGCGCGCCCAGGCTCACCGGAAGCAGTAATTGGTGTCCAGGGCCCGCTTCTTCCTCTGTGCGCCCTGGCCCGGGCTGCCGAGCCGGTGCGGTGGAATCATCATGAGGATGAGGTGAGGGTTGTGGTGATCCTTCTGCTTCTTGAGCCGCCCTAGATCGCCACGGCCGTGGTCGTCCTCGTTGTCCACGCCTGCAGGAGGGGCAGAAGGCGACAAGCTCCTGTGTAAGGAGAGCAGAGCCGGGGAGGGGGCTGCGTCCTAATCCCGGCCCATCCCTGCCCCGGAAGAGCGGCAGAAGGCACCGGGAGCTAGGGCGGCTCCACCCTGGCAGAGGGAGCAGGGCTGGGTGGGGGACCTGGCGGCACCAGAACTCAGCCTCATGGGGACGTCACCGTCAGGTGCCCACAGCAGGTGCCCTCCGGGTCCACGTTCAGAATTCTCAAAGAAGAAGAAGACAGCTCCACCTGAGCTGCTTCCCAGGAGTCTCCCTGGCTCCACGCTGCATCCCTGTCACGGGGGGGGGGGGGGGGGGTCCCACGTCACACTGGGTGGCCGCTTTGCACACTAGGACTTAGCCTCTCGACGTGGGTTCTCTCTTAAAATCTGAGTTGGTCAAGGTCGCACAGAAGTCCTACTGATAATTTCAGGTGTCAAAGCCCTCCAGTCTGGGCGGGAGCCAAAGAAACAAGACTTTGTTCACTTTCGCATCGTATTTCTCATTTCAGAAGTATTTTCGCCGCAAGGACCAAGTGAGATGACAAAGCGTGTGATGGCCTGCTTCGCAAACAACTTCCGGAAAGAGAACCTGAATCATCTGATCTGGTTTCGCTGGAGAGGGAAAAGCCCAGAAACTGATGTAGAGAGTCTCAATGAAAGGGAGACCGACCGTGTGCGAGGCAGCCGCCAGCTGTGGGCAGGGTCACCAGGTGCCTCGCTTACACAGGTACAGGGTGCCCGTGGGTCTCAGGACAGGGCCGCCAGTCTGCCAGATAAAGGGGAGACCTGCACCTCAACTTCTCCTTTCTGGAAATATTTATGAATAGAGTGTTCGTAGAAGTGGGACGGTTTCATCCTAACCTGGTCTACAGGTGAAAACTCTGATGTTCTTCTGAACACTAAGGGTCTGTGGTTAAGATGACAAATGCTTGGCTTCAAAAAAAAAAAAAAAAAAAAAAAAAAGGCTGTGACTTACAGCCCGTAGGCTTAGACCCCAGGCATCTTCAGTTACCCAGCATGGGACTTGGGGAAAGGAATTCCCTGAACCCCAGAGACTGTGAAGGCTGAAGTCCCTGGGAACATTGGCAAACCAGAAACAGCTCTCAATGACTGCCACCCCTGAACCCCACACCCAGATGACTCCCGGGGCAAGGACACCTGGAGAGCTCTGGCCGGCAGGGCCCCCGAAGTGCACTTCTGCACTGAGCATTCCTGGCGCCTGTTCTACGTTTGTTGCCTCGCTTAACTGCAAAACAACCCTGTGGATGAGGTCTTCTCAGGCCACTTCACTGGGCTCAGGGGGCTGAACAGCTTGCCCACGTGATGTCAGCACCGTCCCAGCACTATGTTGTCTTCAGGCATGACTCTGTCTCTCTCTCTCTCTGTCTCCCTCTCTCTCTGTCTCTCTCTCTCTGTCTCCCTCTCTCTCTCTCTCTCCATCTGTGAGCAGCAAGTCATGCTCATTGATCTGGAAGCAAAGCAGGACCCAAGTGCAAGCAGCCGGCCATTTCTGGGAGGGACGTGGGCTCCTTTGCCCGGGGTCTGGTCGGGATCTCCCGCCCCGTGCGCTCCCCCGCCCATCCTGCCACGCACATCCATTTTGTTACCTTTGAATTTTATTTCCATCACCTCGTGAATGTTTTCCAGGATGTCTCCGTTGGGCTGAAAGGTGTGGCACGGACAATGAATGCTGATCTCCAGACCCAAGTTGGACTCTGCAAAATAAGACCCAGAAATCAGTGAGAAAAGCACTCCCCGGGCCAGGGCAGCGTGCTCACCACGCTGGAGCGGGAGTCGTGGCCTCCGCTCCTGTGGCACTTGCAGAAACTGGGTCATGGTGAGGGTCACGGGACACTCTTCCAAAACGCAGAGTAGCCCTTCAGACCCATGTTGCCACGTTCCGTGGTCTTCTGCTACGTCAGGAACAGCCAGATGGGCAGGCAGGCATCTGGTGCAGCAGCTGAGATGGCACGTGGGACGCCCGCACCCCAGGGTGGAGCCCCCACGTTCAGGAGCTGGCTCTGCTCCTCATTCCAGCTAACGCGCACCCTGGGGGGCAAGCGATGGCTCAAGCGCTTGTCTCTGCCACCCACACAGGAAACCTGGCCTGAGTTCCCAGCTTCTGGCTCCAGCCTGGCCCTGCCACAGCGCCGTGGGCATTCGGAGAGTGAACCAGCGGATGAGTGATCGTCTGTCTGTCTCTCTCCCCCATGCCCTGTGCCCTGCCTTTCAAAATAAATAAAGAAAAAAAAAAGCCACCCCCTCTCGAAGGATGTTATTAAGAGAAAATTGTTGCCTTCCTACTTCGGGCCGGAAGGATGAGGACACGAGAAAGAAAAACTGACAACATCTAAGTGTGTGCTGGGAGAGGAGACGGCTGAGCCAGGCTGCCGAGGAGGGGAGGAGGGGAAGAGGCTGAGGACGTGGGAGAGACGCGTTAAAGGGGTCAACGGCAGCGCGCATGGCCGGGCAGAGATAGGGATTCCCGGGCGCCCGGTGCCCGAGACGGGAGGCTGAGCAGCAGGACCGCGAGTCAGGAGCTGATGCTGGAGGCCAGGGGCAGGATGTGTGCGAGTGGAAGCTGCCGGCCCGTCCACCAGCGCCATGACTGCATAGACAGAAAGTGGATTCCAGAGGAGACGAGATGGAAATCGTGGTTACACTTGGCCTTGCTCCCCTACCCCCACACCCCTGGCAGGGCAGAGCACACAATGTGTTAAAATGACCTGGAGGTTTCTTGTCTGGGAAACCTTGTCCACCATGACAGAGAAGGCTGGGCAAGTGGATGACCTGCCAAGGACAACGTGGGACAACGTGGTAAAATCAGAGAACAGAGCAGAGGGCACAGCCCAGGAGCTCCGGGAGAATGAGCGCAGGGAGACTGGAGGCACCAGGGTCTGGCGTACTTGACAGCCTAGTGCAACAAGGTCCACTCTGGCCCTTTGTCCTGCCTGTGGTGGGACCGTGTGTTTTGGCAACCCAAGTCAAGGAAGCGGGAAAACTGGGCAAATGAGGTTGAGTGAAACAGAAGCAAAACAGGAAGACTTAAGAAGCACGTGGAAATTTGAAGTGAATCAGGTAGTTCAGCGTAGGGAGCATCGGGAGTGTCTGGTATCACATCAGCTCGGGTGGATAAGACTCAGTTATGGGAGCTCTCCTGACCCTGGGGCAGCAGCCACCTGTGGCTAGGTCCAGGCGCAGCCACAGGAGATGGACCCCCGGGCTCAGTGGCAGCAGCTCAGCAACCTCACTGATTTCTTACTCTCTCCGAGGCCACCCCAGGGTGTGAGCTTCTGGCCTGTCCAGGTCATCCTGAAACCTGGCATTCATCGAAGAAAACCCCAAAGGCCAACCCAGCTCAGCACCCTTCTCCTGCTGGGCAGAATGATACAGAAGCCCAGGGACTCTGGGCAGCATTGGCTTGGCCTGGACATCCCAGTTGTACTGGCTACCCACCAGCTCCCTTCTTCTGGCCCAAGCCAGGGCAGCCTCTGGGACACACTGACACCTGCAGAGCTTGGGGATCTGTGTCCCAGAAGGTAGAATCAGGGGTGAGAGGCAGATCAACACAGCGAGGCAGCCGAGTCCCAGCCAGAGAAGTGAACAGAGAGGGAGGCGTGAGGAGTGTCCTCCTGGTTCAAGGCTCTAGACGATGGAGCAGAAACAGGCTACCTAACAGTATGTAGCATACACCCCGTTCAAGATGGCGCAGGGAGGCTGGGGCAGACCTGGAATGGGCGAGTTCTGTGAGTCTGTGGGTTAGAAAGTCAAGGTGCAGACAGATACACTGGGGGGGGGGGGGTTAAGGTACCAGTGGTAAGCAGGAGATGACCCAGGTTGACCACAGGCTCTGTCTTTTTTTTTTTTTTTTTTTTTTTTTTGACAGGCAGAGTGGGCAGTGAGAGAGAGAGACAGAGAGAAAGGTCTTCCTTTGCTGTTGGTTCACCCTCCAATGGCTGCCGCGGCTGGCATGCTGCGGCCAGCGCACCGCGCTGATCCAATGGCAGGAGCCAGGTGCTTTTCCTGGTCTCCCATGGGGTGCAGGGCCCAAGCACTTGGACCATCCTCCACTACCTTCCCGGGCCACAGCAGAGAGCTGGCCTGGAAGAGGGGCAACCGGGACAGAATCCGGAGCCCCGACCGGGACTAGAACCCGGTATGCCAGCGCCACTAGGTGGAGGATTAGCCTAGTGAGCCGTGGCGCTGGCCCACAGGCTCTGTCACCAAGGCTCAAAGGTGATGACAACAGCCACCACTGATGCTGAGTGTTACGACACATTGAACAGTTCTCTAAGATTTTACAAGCATGAACTCATCTAATCTCAGGAAGAATCCTACAGAGTAAGAATTATTGTTGTCTCCCATTGTACAGATGAGAACACAGAGGTGTAGAGAAATTAAATGGCTTGCCCAAATGCATCCTACCAGGAGGCCATAGTGCCAGCATTCACACGTAGTCTGATGTCAGTTGCCACACTAACTGTCAGGGAAGGGAGGGACAAACAGGGGGCAGCAGAGACCACTGAGGAAGATGCCCACCGAGTCACGGAGATGCCAAAGAGTTGTGCTTTGTCATTGTCCCAGCTGTCCAGAGCCAGGATGCTGGGAGTGGTCCCTGGACAACCTGCTGTGGAGGCCAGCCTCTGTGCACAGAGGAGCTGCAGACTGGAGGAGCAGCAGCACGAGGGGCTCAGTGTTTGCTGAACGAATCCAAGACCACATCAGGAAGCGTTCCAGTCTGGAGTCCACCAGCCACCTGGTTTGGGACCACGAACCCTGACCAGCCCCAGAGCCCTGTGTAAGTAAAGGCCGACGTCGCGGTTCCGCTGTGGGAGGGGTGGGCAGTCTCTGCCTGAGTGGGCGCTGGAGGATCCCGGGAAGAACTACCCTCGGCATTGGCAGCGGTGGGGATGGTGGGCGGGGGACCCGTAGGTTTTATTATGAAATTATCTTGCTGATGTCTCGAGGAGGATGGAAGTCATTCTCGACACAAGCTTCTCATTGAGTTCTGCAGCTGTGAAGAGAAGGACTCCTTCAAGTGCCCAGGGCTTCAGAGAAATCCAGGTGGAGCTGATCAGAATCAGGGGCGCCAGGAGATGAGTTTCCCCGGCCCCTCCTCTCTGTAGCCATGCCGGGCTCTCGGCCGAGCGCCAGCTGAGTCAGAGTTCCCAACAGTGCTGCTGTCGGCCGGTCCACGTGGGTTCCCCTAAGCCTTGGCCTTCACGCCCAGGAGGAGGAGGGACAGGAGGCAGCTCCTGGCTACCCCCGGGGCTGGGGCAGGCTCTCCAGCCCACCGTCCGCCCAGCCAGACATCTAATAACGCCCCTTAGATGGCGACAGGCAACCTCTGATGCCTGCAGAGCCCAGCAAACCCAGCCACCGTAGGATGCTCAGTCGGAACATCCGGCCCCGATCTTGGGGAGCAACGAGGAACGGCAGGGACTGGTGACTCAAGAACGCACCCCTCCCATCTCCACGGGGCCCACCACTCGTCTCTGGGGAGTGATTCTTAGGAAATCTTCCAATTTTGCAAGCAAAGCCAGAAGTCCAGGTTTTATGTGAGATCCCCTGACAAAGAAAAACAACTGTTGACCACCAGCCCAGCAGAACAGTATGCAGGCCCAGCCGTTCCAGATCTCTGCCTTGGAGCCTTAACCCCCCAGCTTCCCAAAACACCGAGGACAAAGAGGGATGCACCTGCCTCAGTGACTCGGCATCAGTGCGCGCGTGGACTCTGGCTGGATCACAGCTGGTGATCCCGGAAAACCCTCCACAGAGGAAGAGAGGGGACAGACGGGGCCACCACACATGACGCCACCCGCTCAGCAGGCTGCCCAGGCAGTACCAGCCAGGCAGAAGGAGAGGGACAGGAGGGCAGGACCTGGTGTCAGGAGCCACGTTGGCTGGCAGCTGGCAGACTGAACTGCCAATCAGACGCAAGGCCTTGGGCAAGTCACTTCTGTGGGCTGCAGGTTCCTTATCTAACTTCACAGGCACATGCATTCCAAAACAAAACAGCCTTTAGAAACTAAGGAAGGAAGGAAGGGATGGGAGAGGAGAGGGGAGAGGAGGGAGGAGAGGGAGGAGGGGAGAGGAGGGGAGAGGAGGGGGAGAGAGGGGTGAGAGAGGGGAGAGGAGGGGAGGAGAGGGGAAGAGAGGGGAAGAGAGAGGGGGAGGGGGAGAGAGGGGAGGAAGGGGAAGGAGAGCAAAGGGGAGAGGAGGGGAGGGGGATAGGAGGGGAGGAGGGAGAGAGAGCAAGGG